TGGACAGGTCATCATGGGTCGTTCTGTCGGATGAACGGGTTTAGTTGAGAGCAATTGACAATGGAGCTTGGTACATTACCTCTTCCTGCCCCATGTATGAAGCCATTAGGGCAGTTTATACTTTGGTTAACGCACCAGCGGAAATCGGGCATCTTTTCCAAGGATTGGCGAAGGACCAAGAAGTCATATCTGTCCGCGTTCGCCCAGAGGTCAACCAACGGCACTTTTCATCCACAGATCCCAAGGTTGGCGTACCTCGCAAAGATGTCAGGAGGAGCAAAGGCCTTCATGTCTCGAAAGTCCAAGAGACTAGTACACCGTTCTTCCGGGCAAGTAATTACCGGCGAGAGCTTGGACTCGAATTGCCCTTTGATCGCTTTACCCAAACAAGAGCTACACATACTAGGCTGATGGTTACATCCATTTGTAATCTTTCGGGATACCTTAGAATGCTTGATGGTTTTCGTCTCAAGGCAGACATTACAGTCAAAGAAATGTTGCCGATAAATCCTATTTTGTTGGTTGTCGAATGGTGAGCTCAACTAGTATGCCATAGATATCATGTTATACGATACCTTTTATGTGGCTCGGAAGCACGCTTGTAATAGCTCCCCATATCGTCAAGTGAAATTGAACTAGTCCATTGGTGCCAATAAAAAGAACTATGTCGACCACACGTCATTCGCCAATCCGAATCGTCCGTAGTGGATGGGGCGTCTATTTTTTCTCTCCAGTCTTTTTCTAAGCATCTGGTGCATAAGTAATACCCAGACCTTGTGCACGCTTGACAAGGCGAGAAGGCATCGGATGAAGGGATGCTCCCACTACAGTTCTGGCAGGTGGGCATTGGTCCAGCACAGTGCCTGCGAATATCAAAGCCTTCTGGTAGGTAACCTCCTTTATAGGTATTCGAGGCGAGATGCCAAGGGGGACAGAACGGGCTGTTGAGTCCAGCTGGTCATTCGCTTATATCATTATCCCCTTTCCAGCATGGCCCTCGAAGTATAACGTCATTTGGATATCGTCACGTTCGGAAACTTGAAGGAGGCTGTCCATTGATTCTGCAGGTTCTGGATAGACTCTACAGTCAAACCTGTCTAAATGCATGGGGTTGGTTTTTGGAGAAACCCATGCATCTGGACAGGTTATGCATTTAAACAGGACGATTTGTATGGTACGGGAAAAGCCAAAAGGCATGCATTTAGACAGGTTATGCCTTAAAAAAGGTATGCATTTAGACAGGTTTTACTGTACTACAGAAAATGCAGACCCCACCTTCAAGCATCCAGTGACAGCTGGTTGATCGAATCTAAATTGTCAGCATCAAATCAATTGCACCACGCAATCTGATGAGCCCGACGTGTGCCCTGAATGACGGTACCAGTCTCGGTTCCACCCTTTCTAGCAACCTATTGTGGCTTATAAACGTGACCATATGGTTTGTAACTGCCTGTTTATGTCTTTCAGTGGTTGAAATTCGGCTCTCGTCACGGAAAGTAGCCGAGACGAGCCAGTCATCCAGTCTCCTTTTTGGGAAGTGGCAATTTTATTATCTCTATACCTCGTCGATGCCACGCTCGATCGACGAGATATAATAGGGAGCTGTATGGAAAGCTGTCAGCTTCAGGGATAACCAGCAGTGGTTTGACTGACCTTCTCCTTGGCGCTGGGAGAGGAGGCTGTCACCAGCCGGTTAGTAGAGACTGACGTTGTCGACAGTACATGGACATTATGGAGTAAAATAAGACAATAAAGTCCGTAAGGTGACCGACGAAAAGTCTGACGAACCCTCCTCTCGACCCCTACTCGAACCATATTCTGCGAGTTTCCCATCAATCATGCCTGCCCAAGCAGAAGGAACTTTTATGATATTTCTCAAAAAAATCTCTGGGAAAACCCGCACTATTTATCTGAATGGCCCAAAGGATACGGTGCGAATGTTGAAAGATAAGGTTCAAGACAAAGAGTCTATTCGGCCGGATGACCAACGTCTACTTTACGGCGGGCATCAACTAGAAGATAACAGGACTCTTGAGGACTATGGGATTCAGAAAGACTCCACGGTCTGGTTGGTGCTACGGCTTCCAGGAGGAATCAAGCTTGTAAGTTGTCTTGCTTTCAGAGATGAAAACTGACCTTTCTTAGATGTATAACTGATCAATTTCGATGCCATTTATATTTTACAGGCCCCATATTGGAGGGTCAATACTATTTCTACACGCCTAGTTTAGGGGCTTCTTCCTCACGTGATCTCACTTCGACTCCATGTTATGAATTTTCCAGAAAACCATCTCATGTTCATGTATCCCTTCGGAATGGACTTTTTGCATTAATAAAAACTGAGCCTGAGCCCTTCAGCGTCATCTATTCCCTCAATGTGCCGTAGAATTTGGATCTTTTGCGTAGCAAATGGGATTAGTATTACGTAATATGATTCCTAACGGTCCACTACCCAATAATTTTCTGACAAAACTCGCCACTGCCGACGACAAATTCGAGGGCGGTTTGGAATAGCTAGGAAGGAAGAGGGTTGACTTTGTTTTCCACCTCTATCAATGCACAAAATGCTTCTGTTTGAGGATTCGTATACGCAGGAGCTATCCAAAGAGTAAGAGGCCTTTCGAATTAGGCAAGGGAATCAAGTCTACTTAGGTTGGGTGTTGGGGTCGATACTACGACTTGGACCACTGGCTGTACGAACAAATTCCTGTATAGCAGATATCTCTATCTCTAATTCGTCGCCCGTTGTTTGCCCAGGTGGTGCGCCTTGTTCTCCTTGTTGCGATTTCACGCTGGCGATCTTCTTCTTTACCCATTCTAGCTCGGTCTTGACCCACCCTCTGGCGAGATTCATTTTTGGCTGTACTGTGTGTTTCCGTTCGGTCAATAGTAGGGGGTGCATGGCTCTGGAAATGGCTAGCCACTCCAGGTCAAACGTCAGTCGAGCAGGGAAGTGGTCTTGAGGGGATGGTATATCCACTATCTGTGAATAAACATGAGTCAGTCTCATTCTTAATCAGGCTTCATATGCGACTTTACCTCTAGAAACTTTCGATCAGGTAGACATTTATCGAGAGCGAGGAACTTTGTGGTAGACGGGATAGATGAACTGCTCGGCGCACCACTTGAGGATGCAGCAGCCGGTCCAGTGCTGGTGTCGTTTTGTCTAGACTTGCCCTTCTTCTGTTGAGCCGTGGACGTCGAAGCGACGGCAGGGCCCGCTGACCTGGCTTGGGACGGGGCTCCTCTTCCCCATTCACTCACACCTTCGCCAGTGTGGTCATATTCAGCTTTGAATCTTACATGCATATGAGCAGAGAACCACCAAAATGGACGGGCCGTCTTCAAAAGGGTCATCATATGCGGGTTTCCCAGTTCTTTCTTGTCAATGCTCTCTTTGAACCACGGCTTGGTCTTTAAGAGGTATGCCATATTTCCGTGGTTATATATTCCCTCTGGCCAATCGTGAGAGAGCATCACTTCGGGTCCTGGAGACAGGAGGGACAACTTGAACACATCATGGGCACGAACGTGGTATATTGAACGGAGGGCATTGTTGTCGTAGGGTAGTTTTTCGAAGTGGCCGAGGACGTAGTCGTGGCGTTTGAAGATGCCCGAAGCACCTGCTATCCGAATCCCGTTCAGCCGCACGCAACCAGACCCGCCTAGGTAGTATATATTCGGTGCGAGCCACCCTCCATGATATCTGTGAATCGGTGAGAAATGAGGCTACAAATGGAACACGACGAGACATACAACTCCCACAAGTAGTTGGACGCTTCGTGATTGCCGCCTATTACAATCGTTAAAACAGGAGCTGTTTTCTGTCCAGTATAGTACCTTGACGATTTGTAAGCAGCTATACGACACTATAAGAATACGACCTTACTCGTGAAACTCTCCCAAGTGTCTGTACTTTTGTGGAACGGCCATGCAGAGTAGATCAGCCTCATTTCTTATGGCCTCAAAATCTCCACAAATTATCAATACGTCAACGCGTTGTCCGGTCTTATTTTCTAGATTCTGGAGCTCCTCGTAGCTCTTATTGAGTGAGCCATGGCAGCAGCCTTCAACAGCGATCTGGTATGGGTCGAGATGGACAATGTCAGCTGGATAGGAGTACGAAGTGTTGTAATATCTGACCTTCATGGTAGACTGAAAGGCGGGTTTTGACTGTTTCAGAAGTAAAGTCTCGAGGGTAGGGTCCAAGTTTGACAATAAACGAGTCACCTGTGACTCGACAGACTCGCCCACCACGAGCAGCGCGCGTCAGCCTGGTTTCGAAGATAGCAGCACACTTGGCACATATTCAGCAATAACAATAGGATAAGTAAGTTTTTGTCGATTCTTCCGCTGGTCCGAGCCCGCCAAATGAAACAACGGACCGACATGGTTCCAAGGATTCCTCTGCTCTTCGCTCGCTTTTATCGCTTTGTGAAACGAGCACAGCACTCTGATATCTATGAGACCCAGTAATAACACCCATAGCAATTACTATCGCGATGGTTATCTGATCTGGCATCAAAAAGATATGCCTTGCACATAAACGTGATTGACTCTTGTTAATATACTCTTTTCCCGGCCTTCTCTCCGTCTTTCTCACAATAAAACACCTCGGGGATCCGCGCAGTCCTGTAATTGGCCTCAAGGAGATAGGTGTCCAACAGGAGGTGGCGGGCGGTTACGCCTCTTCTCTCGACCCCCTCCCGATTTGCTCCTGCACAATGGGCTTTCCCTTTTCCTTGTTCCGCCCTACGGATTATGCAACATGTTGAAGAATTAAACTAAAATTTTCATACGACACATGGTACATTTGGTACGGTTCCAGAACAACTCTTGTACGAGCATATTTCTGATATGTATACGTCTCTTTTGTTGAGACTCAAGTTCGGACTTGGTGCAACGTAACATATATGTGGGAACATCTTGAGCCCGCTTTCCAGTCTCCAAGGCAGATCCAGCAAAACTCGTGGGCACATTTAGAGCCTACACACGGGGTCAGAAATGAGTATATGCATTCAGAAAATGGACTCACATGTCATATGATTGCAGCCACCATCCTTAAAAATGGTACCGCTGCAGTTTGGACACTGCTTCGTACTCGCTTTCACGAAGGTTTTAGTTACGGCTTCTGGCGTTCGCTTCGGGCCCTTCTGATACTGTGCACACGTCTGTCCAGAGTGCCACCCCACTTTATCATTGAAGCACATGACAAATTTACAGTCTGGGCAGGTCATCATGGGTCTTTCTGTTAAATGGATAGGTTTAGTGGAGCGGACCGTAGAAGCTGGAGCCTGGCACATCACCTTTCCCCCCGACATGTATGAAACCATTGGTGCATTTCATACTTGAGTTGACACACCAACGAAAATCAGGCATCTTTTCAAAGGCTTGGCGAGTGACCGAAAAGTCATATCTACCCATAGAAATCAGTCAATGATACCGTTCACCCAAAAGATACCAATATAAACTTACTTCGCAAATGTGTCCGAAGGGGCAAAAGCTTTTACATCCCGAAATTCCAGAAAACTAGGACACCCAGCTTCCGGGCAACGAATCACAGTCGACCGCTTCTCCTCGTACTGCACTTTGATAGCTTTGCCTAGACATGAGAGACACATGGTAGGCTGATGGTTACAGCCCTTTGTGATCTTTCGAGATGGCCGAGAATGTTTGATCGTTTTTGTCTCACGACAGACGGTGCACTCGAAGAAATGCTCGTTGTAAATGCTAGTTTGTCAGTTGTCAAGTGGTTGGGTGGATAAGTATAAGGTAAATACGCCACTTTTTATGTACTTTGGAAGCACGCTTGTAATAGCTTGCAATATCGTCGAGCGAGGTTGAGTTTTTCAATTGATGCGAAATAGGAGGGCAGCCACATGCTATTTTCCAATCTGAATCGTCCCCACTGGACGACGAATCTATCTTCTGTCTCCAGTCTCTTGCTAGGCACCTGGTGCATAAGTAGTTACCAGAGCGTGTGCAAGCTCGACAAGGTGAAGCCACATCGGATGAGGGGATGCTCTGACTGCAGTTCCTACAGGTAGACATTGATTCAACACACTGTCTGTGAGTTCCAGCGTCCTAATTATCTGGAATTGGATAGCTTATTGGATTAATTGACCTTCTTAGAAGCTTTTCTGGGCTTATAACAGTATTT